GTCCTTATTTATAATTTCAGTTTCTCACACCAGAGAAACAATGCTATCTATATTTACAAATGTGTGTCCAATTTATTTCACGTAAGAGCATGGTCTCAAGGTGCATCCATTTACATAGAAATGTTTCAAGTTTATCTTTATTTATGGCTGAGTAGTACTCCATTGTATAAAACCTCCTACATCTTCTTTATTCATTTGTTGTTTGATGGGCATATTGGCTATTTCCAAGATTTACCTATTACAAACTGTGCTGCTATAAACATAGGTATATATATATATATATATATATATATATATAGCCATGAGTAGGTTACTTTAACTGCAATAGAAGTCCTAGTTTGTGAGATGGAGAAAGTAAATTTGGGTAGATAAGACAAGGAAAGATACTGAAGGACTTAAAAGCGAATCAGGTGAAATATCCATAAAGACAGAAAGCAAATTAGTGGTTGTCAGAGGTACAGGAAAGAGGGAGTAGAGGATTATTACTTAGCTGGGCATGGTGGTGCACGCCTGTAATCCCAGCACTTGAGAGGCTGAAGCAGGAGGATCACAGTGAATTTGAGGCCAGCCGGGGCTACATAGTGAGTTCAAGACCAGCCTAAACTACACAGCAAGACTCTGTCTCAAAAACCAAAATAAAACAAAACAAAACAAAACAAAAGAGAATGATTACTTAATGGGTGCAGAGCTTCCTTTCAGGGTGATAAAAATATTCTGGAATTAGATAGTGGTAATGATCCCACAATACTGTGAATGTATTACTGTCATTAATGGTAAAGCTTCCCCACATTTTACCACACACACAAAGGTAGGCAGAGAAATTGAGATTTAAAGCAGTAAATAATAGAATTGTGAATCTTGATTGAACAAGTATTAAGATGAAATGGGTCAGGTGTGGAAGCGCACAGCTGTAATCCCAGCATGGAAGGAAGCTGAGGCAGGAGGTTCGCAATCTCAAGTCCCACCTAGCTAATTTAGTGAGCTCCTGTCTCATTTACTTGCTTAGTAAATGCTTAGGTGTAGCTCAGTGGTAGAACACTCCTAGGTTTGATCCCCATGAAACAAAACAAACAAACAACCCCCGCTAAACAGATGAAATGGTATTTTAGGAAGATATCTGCTAGGATATTGTCACTGATGGCTTTAGTTCTCAGAATTGGAAGATAATACACTACTTCAATGCAGTTATATAAAATATTTACTAAGTGCCTGTTATATGTCAGATATTGCATTAGGTGCTGGAAATTACTACTGTACTTTTGTACATTACCTAGCATATAAGGAATAAGAAAACTTGAGGCCAGGCATGGTGGCACATACCTGTAAACTCAGCACTCTGGGAGGCTGAGGTAGGATGATCACAAGTTCGAATCCAGCCTGGGAAGTTTAGGAACGCAGCAAGATCCTGTCACAAAATAAAAATTTTTTAAAGGGTTGGGGTATAGCTCAATGTGAAGGCTCTGGGCTCTATTTCCAGTATAAATGAAAGAAAGAATAAAGAAATAAGAAAACTTTATAGACAAATTCAAAAGCTTAAAAAAACCACTGAAACTCTAGTATTTAAGTGCATTTTCATTTTCAAAAGGTATTAATATACTGTAAAATAATACTCAGCCCTGTATGATGAGAAGCTTATGTCAATAGAGCATCGTTTGTATCTTTAGTTTACATCATGGAAAAACAGAGCCATTAAAAATATTTATCATGGAAAATGTCAAACATATTTTAAATCTGTCATAATTGCATTATGACACTTGTAAAATTAATAATAATTCCTTAAGGTTATCTAATATTTAGGTTTTGTTCAGTTTTCTCCAACTGCCTGAAAAATGCCTTTTTATAGTTGATTCAGTGTTTACATACTGTATTTGATTTATATGTTTTCTAACATTTTTTAAATCTGTAACAGTTCTTTCTTTTTTATATTTTCTCATTAAGAGTTCTTAACAATGGGCTGGGGATTTAGCTCAGTGGTTCCAGTGCCTGCCTCACAAGCACAAGGTCCTGAGTTCAATCTCAGGTACCAAAAAAAAAAAAAAGAGTGCTTAACAATGTAATGGTACAAGATCCTAATGATGTATGTAGATGTATTTTATACCTAAATGTACCAATAAACTTAACATGGAGGGGAACCTAAAAAAAAAAAAAAAGAATGCTTGACATTCTGGCTTTGACTAATTGTATTTCCATGTTTTTATTTAACACATCCCTCTATCTCCAGAATTTCCTGTAAAATAGTAGTTAGATCTAGAATCCTGATTAAATTCAGTTTTAGTTTCTTTGGAAGAATACATCTGTAGGTGATCTGTACATTTTTGATGAATCATAGGCTTATGGGCTAAAGAGACAGAAGGACAAAGTTCTTTTTTTTTTTTTTTGGTACCTGGGATAAAACTTCAGACCTTGCGCTTGCAATACAGGCTAAATCCCAGCCCAAGGACAAAGTTCTTGAGTGTGGTAATTATTGAAGTAATTTTTTATTTGGTAGCTGTAGGGTAAGACTGACTAATTGTAAAAATTATACAATGCCAAAAAGGGTCTTGACTTAGGATTTTTAATTGTTCGATTTCTTTGATTTGTTGTATACTTTTCCCACTATAGCTTCACGTCAAGATTCATCTCCTTCTCCACCTCCACTCCCAGAAAGAACCTTAGAGCCCTTCTTTCTTCCTAATGGAGATTGTAAGTGGTAGTACATACTTTCTCTCCAAAAAGTAATAAAAATGTGAATGTTAAAAGGTTAACAACAAAGTAAGACCTAAATGGAAAAGGTACAAAGAATGATTAAATAAGATAAAATACATTTTCTAAACCCAACAATGTGTAGCAAGATGCCTTAAAAAGCCAAGGTAAGAATTATTGAATATATACTATATATAACACAAAGGCTTAAGAAAGTATACACAAAACACTTCTTCTCTTTTTTATTTTTTTAAGGTATGCAGACCCAATCTACAGAAACTTATTCAACTAGCTGTCCTGAAACCACGGAAAATTCAACATCTTCAAAACAAACAGTGAAGACTACTGGAAAAAGTTTCACAAGGAATAAGGTAAGAAACCAAAGATTTAGAAAATATGCCAGAAGCGTTTCTTACTGAAGATTTTTTTCCCTCCTCAGGATTAAGATAGGAAATTAGAGTAAATATCTTTACTCAAATGAATTGATGATCTCACAACAATCAAAATTAATAAAAAGAAACCAGGCAAATGTGGTGCCACACACTTACAATCCCAGCTACTGGAGAGGCTGAGGCAAGAGGACTGAATTTCAAGATCAGCCTGGACAACTATAGTGAGACCTTGTCTCAAAATAAATTTAAAACACGAAAAGGATAGGGGGTGGCTGAGGCAGATACCTGCCTTGCATACTCAAGGCCCTGGGTTCAATCTCTTGTGCCACAAACCAACCAACCAACAAAACACACAAAAGAAAATACCACTACATTAAGAATTTATTTCTTCCTAAGGCTGACTTATAAATTTTAAAATATGCCCATCACAGGGCCGGGGATTTAGCTCAGTGGTTCCACCTCCTGCCTCGCAAGCACAAGGTCCTGAGTTCGATCCCCAGTACCAGAAAAATATGCCCATTAAAACTACCAATTTAGGGCCAGGAATTTAGCTCAGTGGTTTCGCCGCCTGCCGCGCAAGCGCAAGGACCCGAGTTCAATCCCTGGTACCAAAAAACAAACAAACAAAAAAAACCCCCAAAACTGCCAATTTGTTTATTCCTGGAACTAGACAAATTGAAAGTTCATCTTGGGGAGAAGGGGGATCAAGAACAGCCAAAAAATTGCAAACAAGCAAACAAGCAAGGAAGGAAACAAAGAAATGCAATGAACAGAGGGTAGCCTTACCAGATATTAAAACATTGTAAAGCCACAAAAAGAAACACATGCCTACAGGTAAAAGGGCAAGTCCAGAAGTAGGTCCAAAATATGTAAGAATTTACTGTATAACACAAATGTTCCTAAAATCAGGGGATAAGGATGAATGATTTAATAATTGTTGTTGAATTAGGTAGTTGGAATAGTAGGAGCTGTAACTTACTTTTTTTTTTGAGACAGGGTCTCACTGTGTAGTTCAGGCTGGCCTTGAACTCACTATGAGGGCTAGGCTGGCCTTGAATTTGAAGTGATCCTCTTGCCTCCGCCTCTCAAGTGCTGGGATTACAGGCGGGCACCACCATGCCTGGCTTATAACTCACTTCTACACAAGAATACATTCTAGATGGCTAAAAGATTTACATGTTAGGGGCCGTGGATTTAGCTCAGTGGTTCCGCTGCCTGCCTCGCAATCAGAAGGACCCGAGTTTGATCCCTGGTAAAAAAAAAAAAAAAAAAAAAAAAAAAAAAATTTACATGTTAAAACACATACACATGGGGCCGGGGGTTTAGCTCAGTGGTTCGGGTGCCTGCCGTGCAAGCACAAGGTCTGGAGTTCGATCCCCGGTACCGAAAAACAAAAACAAAAAAACCACATACACACTTGGCCTGGGATTTAGCTCAATGGTGCTCCCACCTGCTGTTCAAGCACAAGGTCCTGAGTTGATCCCCGGTACAAAAAAAACCCAAAAAACAAACAAACAAAAACCCCCCAGCCCCCCCCCACACACACAACCTATAGAAGTACTAAAATATCTTGGAAAGATTCCTTTATAACCCTAAAATATGTATGACCTTTACAGCTATGACTAACAATTCAGAAACTGTAAGAAAAAAGACATTAATTCAACTAAAGGAAACAAAATTTCTGCATAGTGAAAAAAACAATCACCTTCAAAACAAAAATAGCCAAGCATAGTGGTGCATGCCAGTAATTCCAGCACTCTGGGAGGCTGAGGCAGAAGGATCATGAGTTCAAGCCCAGTTTGAGAAACTTAGCAGTTTAGTGACACTGTCTCAAAATTTAAAACTTGCTCAGTACAAAGGCCCTGGGTTCAATCCCTAACACTGGAAAAAAAAATGTTGGGTGGGAGCGTGTGTGTGTGTGTGTGTGTGTGTGTGTGTGTGTGTGTTTCAGAATTCAGGTTTAAATAGAATAGTCTTCTGAAAAAAAAAAAGACAAAGAATAAAGTGGAGAAAAATATCTGCAATTGCTATCATAGCCTCAAGGGTACTTGTCTAATATATAAAAAAAACTGCTAGAAATTCATAACAATAATATCCCTGGAATAAAAATGAGCAAAAAATACATGTGCAGGTAGTTCAAAGAAAATAAATGAGCATGGCCTGACCTTTAAACATATGATATGCTCAACCTCATTCATAATAAGAGAAACACAAAATAAAACCACGGTGACATATCGTTTTTCATTTGTCAGAATGGCAAATATCAAAAGTTTGACAACACTCTCTGTTATGGCTACGGGGAGATAAGCACATGCCGTGTGTGTGTGTGTGTGTGTGTGTGTGTGTGTGTGTGTGTGTGTGTATGTGGGGGAGTCACTGAGGACTGAACCCACCGCCTTTGCATTGAGCTGCATCCCCAGCCCTTTTTTTACTTTTTATTTTGAGACAGGGTCTTTTTAAGTCACTGTTACAGTTTGTGTCTAGATGTCCTCCCAAAGCCTCATGCAGGCTTAGATGGGGCTTCAGAGGTGGCTGAATCTGGAGTGTGATGTTGAGATTAAGGGTGTATGATTACTAAATCAGTGCACTGATTGGCCTGGCACCACCCTTATCCCGATAGCCTGGATACAATATAAGGGACAGAAAGAGGTTTGTCCCTTCCCTTGTTGCTTTTGCTACCATGTAGGCACCATGAACTGTTTCTTCTCTGTGACGCCCCTCTGCCATGTGCCATCCTGCCTTGGAGCCAGCTGGTTATGGACTGAACCTCTACAAACTGTGGCTAAATAAATCCTTTCCCCTTTAACTTTGGGTGTCAGGTATTTTGTTTTAACAACAAGAGAAAAGTAACTAGCACAGTCACTAAACCTCCCAGAGGACTGGGATTAGAGGGCTGCACTACCATGTCTAGCCTGCATGTGCCTACTTTGTTGGGAATGTTAAGTGGTACAGTACAACTTCTATTTTTTTTTTCTTTTCTTACTTAAGTGGTACAACTTTTATGGAGGGCAATTTAGCAATATCAAAATTACAAATGAAAAAAAATTCATATGTCCTTTGACCTAACAATTTCACTTCTAGGAATTTATTTTATATATATCCTGTACACACACATGTACATGTATATCAGGTATTCATTGCAGCATTTTTTTTTTTTTTTGTACTTGGGATCAAACTCAGGACCTTACACTTGTGAAGCAGGCGGTGGAAGCACTGAGTTAAATCCCCGGCCCTTTTGCAGCATTTTTTTTTTTTTTTGTACTTGGGATCAAACTCAGGACCTTACACTTGTGAAGCAGGCGGTGGAAGCACTGAGTTAAATCCCCGGCCCTTTTGCAGCATTTTTTTTTTTTTTTGGTACCAGGGATCGAACTCAGAACCTTGTGCTTACAACGCAGGCGGTGGAACCACTGAGCTAAATCCCCAGCCCATTTGCAGCATTATTTATAAGAGCAGATGATGAGGAAACAACATGAATGTTAATCATTAGAGGAACTGATTAAATAAATTATAGCATATGAGTACATATAATGGAATACTATGCAGCTAAAAAGAATGAAAACTCAATGGGGAAATGTATTCTATATGTGTATTTACTTACATATTCATAAATAATTCTGGAAGGATACATAAGAAACTAAGATACATATATGGGAAGGTTATAAACTGAACAGGATGGGAGCACTGTGTGTGTGTGTGTGTGTGTCAGGATACTGCTATTTTGCCCTATTTTGACTTTAAACTTACTATCCTCTTGCCTCAGCCTCCTGAGTAGCTAGGACTACAGGCATGCACCACTACATCCCAATTCTGATGAGAATATTTTTACTAATATTTTTGGATTGTAAATAAAAATTTTCTAGAAATCTAAAAATTTTACAGAAAAGAATTTCTTAAATATTATGCAGAATATCATATTTCTGTTAGGTGTTAGGAAAATAGGTATGTCATAAAAGGTATCTACCTGTTCTTGAAAAAGAGTATATCATTAATCTTTTGGAACAGAGCACATATATGAGGCCCATATAAAAATTATCAAGAAGAATAAAGTAACCATGAAATAGATTAAAAACACACATGCTGAGGAAATGTGAAGTGAAAAAGAAATTTGAGTAGGTCACTGGAAAAGGTAAGGAAGGAAGAGCTGCCACCATAAAGAAGGCTGAGGACATGGGATTGCTGAAAGGTGTGAAGAAGTGGGGCTAACAGAAAATTGAGTAGATTATGACTGGCAAAATTTCCTGGCTGGAATGGGAATAATTATGTATCACAACTATGTTCAGAAGCCATTGTGGGTTCTGGAATGTTCCTAATAAAGGAGAGAAGTAGGAACTTCATTTTCACTCCTGACACTCTGGTAGCATTATTTGAAATATGTAGTGTGATACTTACATAGGTGGGAAACATAGTAAGATTAAAATCAAGTGGAGATTTTGTACTGAATTAAAAATGGCAAGATGGAAAAATAATTGTGTGTTTTCATGGTTATTTTTAAGGAAATCAATTCTTTTGACTTATTTCTATTTAATTAAAGTATTTTGAATTTTAGAGAAAAAACTAATTTTATCCTTTACTTCATTTTTGTAGAGTTTGAAAATTTTGCGAAACATGAAGAAGAGTAAGTTTCTTTGTGCTTATTTTAAAATATATATATATATATACACACATAATTTTTCCTTATACAGTCAGTCGGCCTGTGAAAATATTAATAATTATCATTCCTAAACAGATACTCCATAGGGGCCCATGGATCAGAACAATTACCCTGTGCCGGGTTCTGCAGTACTAGTATTGACCTGGAACTACAAGGATGAACGTTTCTCTGTTTATAGACAGAAAATAATTAGCACAATGTTTGGTATATTCTACCCGCCTTAAGATGCTGTCATACAAGTATGCTATTTAAATTTTCCAACAGTCTAACCTCAAAAGTACTTTTTTTCAAAATAGTCATAGTAAAGCATATTGTGAAACAAATGTGTTGATTTAATGAAATAAGCAAAGCATTGACACATTTCCATTTTCAAGCATTATTAGCAGTAAAAGTCTGTTGCTTACTATTTTTGCTATATTGTTATGAAAATAAAACTCATAGACTCTTGAAACTTTGGGGAATTATCTTAGAAATCCTTATTTACAAATGCAAAGTGTAGAAAACATAAGCCTCTTACAAATTTGACCATTTGGTTAATCACGGAGAACTAAACAGTTAGTTGATACTGTACTGATGTTAGAGAGACAAAAGAGCACAGTGAAAATTTATAGTCTAAATAAGAAGGTTGATAGAAGTGTTACTTTATTCTTCTAGGTTTGTACTCTTTCCCTATCTATAAACTCCACATTTTTTTTTTTTTGGTTCTGGGGATCGAACTCAGGACCTTGCGCTTGTGAGGCAGGCACGGTGCCACTGAGCTAAATCCTCAGCCCCTCCACATTCTTGATAGTTTGTTATCACTGTCATCAGACTTGACCTTTGAGACGAATTGATTTCTCACGATGGCTAAAGTATGGTTGGAAAATATACTCTTTTTCTTAAAGACAGTCAAATGAAAACAAACAATTCAAAAGGAAATTATGGTAGGAAACAGGTAAAATTAAATAACCTTTAAAAGCAAAGAAGTGACTTGAACAGTCTGCCAAAGATTGATTTGATCAACTCAGCTTATAAAACACTCAATTTTCTTTCTCTATCTGCTATCCCAGGGCTGACTCAGGATATCAAACAAGAAATATAAACTTCAAGTAGATTTGTGTTAGCTCAGCTTCTGATATGATGGGACTCTGAATCATAGTCTTATTTCTAAGTAAGAGCTAGATGATTTCCTGGATCTAGGCTGGGTTGCATTTCCATTTTTCAGCTATCCTGCTTCTATGATCTTTTGTTCTTTTTTTTTCTTTTCTTTTTCTTTTTTTGGTACCGGGGATCGAACTCCGGTCCTTGCGCTTTCGAGGCAAGCGGCAGAACCACTGAGCTAAATCCCCAGTCCCTATGATCTTTTCTTCTTAAGGAAAGAACAATAGTTCTCCAAATTGATCCTGAAGCTTTAGATTGATCTACCATATGTGTCCTCTGCCACTTGCTGACTATTCATGAATCCATATTCTGTTATGATTTCCCTGTAGTCTGGATCTCTTACTGGTCTGTAGTTAAACTTTTTAATGAAATAATCATTTTCATCTGTTATTTTAAGCTAGCATCCAAGCCTACCATCATTCATTCGTTTATTCAATGAATATCTGTTGAGTACTTACTATGTACCAAGCATTGTACAAAGTACTCAGCATATTATGGTAAACAGACTTGATATCAGATCTGACTTTTGTGGAACTTAAGTCTAGTGATGGATCCAGACATTTAAAAAGTAAATTTAGGCCAGGAGTGGTGGTGCACACCTGTAATCCCAGCACTTGGGAGGCTGAGGCAGGAGAGTTGCCAGAAGTTCAAGGGTAGCTTGGGCTACATAGTGAATTCAAGGCCAGCCTGAACATAATGAAACCTTGTCTCAAAAAACAAAACAAAACAGGGCCGGGGATTTAGCCCAGTGGTTCTGTCGCCTGCCTTGCAAGCACAAGGACCTGAGTTCGATCCCCGGTACCAAAAAACCAAAACAAAACAAAGTAAATTTAAACTTTATTTTTGTTTTTTTATATCACTCATTTTGTTCTTTTTTTAATTGGAAATTTGTGCCTTTACATAATCTCTCTTGGTTCTTATTTTTCCCCCTTCCCCTGCCCTCCCTTCAACCACTCCATCCCTCCCTATTTACAGAGACTTTGTTTCCTTTTTTTCATTTTCTCATATTAATTCCATTCCCTTCTTTCCTTTTCCCTACCTCTCCCACTTCCCCTTCCCCTTTGGTCCTTTTCTTCCTATTTCACATTGTCTATTATACCTTTTAGTTCTTATTTACACTTTCAGTTTCTCACACTAGAGAAACTATTCAGTATTTACACGTGTCCTACTTACTTCACTTGAGTATCGCCTCAGTGTGCATCCATTTAGATATAAATGTCTCTAAATTCTCATTTTTTATGGCTGAGTAGTACTGTGTTTTATAAAAAAAAAACAACCCACATTTTCTTTATCCAGTCTCCAGTTGATGGGCAATTGGGCTGTTTCCAAGTTTTAACTATTACAAACTGTGCTGCTATGAACATGGGTGCACATATATCACTGTGGTACGATTCTTTTAATTCTTTGGGGAAGATCCCCAGCAGGGGAATAGCTGGGTCAAACGGGACTTCCAGTCCTAGTTCTTTGAGGTATCTCCATACTGATTTCCACAGTGGTTGCACCAGTCTACACTCCCACCAGCAGTGGAGCAGGGTTCCTCTTTCCCCACAGCCCCGCCAGCATTTGTTACTGGTTGATTTCATGATAGCAGCCATTCTTTCTGGGGTGAGGTGGAATCTCAGTGTTCTTTTCATTTGCATCTCTTGAATGACCTGTGATGTTAAACATGTTTTCATATATTTATTTGCTATTTCTATTTCTTTGTGTGAGAAATGTCTGTTCATTTCAGATGCCCATTTTCAGATTGGGTCTTTAAATTTGGAAAGTCTGATTCTTTTAATTTCTTTATAGATTCTAGATAGTAGACCTTTGTCTGAGACACAGCAGGTGAAAATTTTTTCCCACATTGTGGGTTGTCTCTTCACACTGCTGGTGGTTTCTCTTGCTGTGCAGAAGCTTTTAATAAGAGATCCTACTTGTTGATTGTTTGTGCTAGTTCATGGGCAACTGAGGTTTTGTTCATAAAATCTTTTCCTACAGCAATGCCTTCAAGAGTTCTACCTAGCCTCTGTTCCAGCTGGTTCAGTATTTCTGTTTTAATATTTAGATCTTTAATCCATTTTGATTTTAGTTGAGTGCATGGTGAGAGATATAGGTCTAGTTTTAATCTTTGGCAAGTTTAAACTTTAAACAAGTAAACACATACATGAAACCCCACTGTGATAAATGCTATGAAGGAAAACAAAAAAGCAACTATGAGAGAATAACAAAGGTAGTCCTCTTTAGAATGGGTGGCATAGGAGACCCGTTCTAAGCAAGTGAGACAGCAGGGAGAAGCCACAAGGCAAGGAATGAGGAGAAGTTCAGTCCAGATATGGAAACAGCACATTCAAAATCTTTTTTTTTTAATGGTACTGGGGATCAAACTCAGGACCTTGTACTTGAGAGGCAGGTGCGGTGCCACTGAACTAAATCCCCAGCCCCTACAAAATCTTTGAAGTGTTTAAGTTTTGTATGTTGTAGTAATCAAAGTAAGTCATAGCTTCACAGGAGTAAGTAAAGAAGAAAGATAAGAAAGCTGAGGCTGGAAAGATGGGGGAGAAATAGGTTCTTATGGATCTTATTAAGTAGAGTTTAGCCTAAGTGGAATGGGAAGCCCTAAAAGAGTTTTAGGCAGAGATGTTACATACTCGATTTTAAAAAAAGATCATTCTGGCTGCTGTATGGAGAATGGATTATAGGTGACAAAAGTGGAAGCTGTAAACTGGGATGCTCCACGCCAACTCTAAGTGGGAAACATTACTCAGAAATCTTTCAGATGCAAGTGACAGAGAACCCACTTAAACTGAATGAAGTAGGAAACAGGAATTTATTGGCTTGTAAAGAAGGGTTCCAATGATACAATCAGGACTTAATCTCTCATTCTTTACCTCAGCTTTGCTTCATTCTGCATCAGCTTACTCATAGGCAAGCTTTATCCTGATTGATCAAGCAACCAGCTTGAGGACTAGTGCTCATTGGTGATTCTCTGGGCTCAACTCATTTGCCCATTCTGAACCAGTTCTTACCGATGTATCCAACGTTTTGATTAGGTAGAATGGTGTCATACCTAAATTTAACAATTGTTACCATGGGAAACTGACTTATCAGGAGCAAGGTCAGACACACCAGGTATGACCACACCAATGGCCCAGAGATGAAACAATGAAAATATTCCCTAATTGTCAGTCATTTCATTGATCTAAAGGTAGAATCAGTTCTACCAGAAGTGTGGAAATTGAAAACTGGGGAAAGACTGAAAGGAAAATTCCAGTTCCATCATCATCAGAAGAGAAAATGCATGTTGCCAAAAATGCAACATGTCTAACACAGGGCTTGCCCAAACAGTGTGAACTATTGTATCCCAGTTTCCTTTACCTGCGGTGCTGTACCACTCTAGACAGGATCTTGCTATGTTGCCCTGTCTGGCCTCAAACTCCTGGGCTCCAGGAATTCTCCTGCCTCAGCCTCCCAAGTAGCTGGGACTACAGGTCAACTTGGAAAGAATGAGCACCTTAAGAAAGATAGTCTTCTGAAATTCCATCACAGTGGTTCAAGAGGAAACAGCACTCACAGGTCACTCTAAGGCACTCACTAGCAGGGCTAGGAGGAACACCTAGCAGCCAGAAAAAAATAAGGACACTCACATGGAGACATACCCATAATCCAGGGTACATCACAAAGACACAGGCACTCAGCAGAAAAGACCCTTGCATAACAGCAGAAGAGATACGCTTCCCATCTGAGCTGACAGAGCTGGGGGCCACTCTTCTGACTCCCTGGAGATGGTGTGAACAGCAGACTCAGTGCCTGTGTGGAATCTCAGGCCCCCTCACTCCCACAGG